GATTCCGGCTGCCGACAGCTTCTTACGGGCGACCCCCAAACATTCACTTTTTCCCCTTTTAAGCGCCGACACCCGCCTTCCTGCCTTCTCAGCTTTGACCCCACTTCCCAGCCCGTTGGACGGGCTTACAGACTCAAATTTCTCCCGGTAAAAAAAAACCAATTTTTGAATATCGTGAGGCTCAAACCTGCGCCTCTTATGATTTGAAGCAAACCCTCTACCAACTGAGCTAACCTAAGTTTTTTTTTAAATATATAGATTTATATTATTCTTATTTAAATACTTATAGTAATAAAGTATTTATACACGTGAATTTTCTAGCCGTCAACCACCACAGACGACGTCAAACCGATGCGTGCTAGAAAATTTAAGGATGTAGAGTAATGAATTTTTATCTTAGCGTTGCACGAGAATTCAACACATACTCACATAAAAGAAAATAACTAGTAAAGATACCAGAAGTTGTTACATAGAAAATCCATAAATGGAGAAAACTACGGGGTCTTGTCTAGTTGTAAAAATTCACTATAGGTTAATAATCACAGACAACAATTATCCCACAAACAGGAAATGGTTACTAGATTTTTCAAGTTACAATTCGACTGACGATTTCCGATCGGTATTGGTTGATGGTGATTGGTGGTGATCGACAATGTTCAATGATGGTTGACGACGATCGATGGTGGTTGACGGCGATGGTAGTGATCGACAGAGGTCGGTGGTTGTCGATGGCTGTCAGAGGTGGTCGACGGCGGTCGGTCGACTGCGATCGACGGTGGTTAATGGCGGTCGGCGGAGATCGGCGGGGGTCGACGACGATCGGCGGTGGTCGGCGGTGGTTGAAGCTATAAGTTCTCTCTCAAACCTCAAGTCTCCTCCTCTCATGAGGGCTGGAGCTCTATTTATAGTGTCTTGGGTACAATTAATACAGGAATATGAACCACTTTGATCAGACGATCCATAAAATTTCCTTCATTCAGACGATGTTTGATGGATATGTGAGTGTCTTAACGATGTCAGAATTGAACAATCTTAGGCTCCTTGAATTTGCCTTTTTGAGACACTCGGTACAACTAGGGGTGTAAACGAACCGAACACGAACGAACAGAGCTTGTGTTCGTGTTCGATTCGTTTGAAATTTAGTTTGTTTGAAATAAGCTCGTGTTCGAAATTGTTCGTGAAGTCATTGTTCGTGTTCGTTTCTTAACGAACGAGCCGAGCATGAGTTGTTCGCGAACGACGAGCCAATTTGACATCCCTAATATTAATATATATTAATTCTATAAATTATATTATATAAATATATAATATCTATATGAATATATTACTAATATAGTATATTAATATATTATTATTATTAATTTATTATATATTATAATTTGTTAAATTTAATTTTTTAAAATATCATAAATCTTTTATATATAATTATTTTAATTTATTTTATATTTCGAACAATAACGATTCAAACACGAACTAACGATCATTGTTTTGTTTGGTTCGTTTAACTAACCGAACGAAAAAAATTTGTTCACGTTCGTCTCGTTTGTTTATCGAACAATCAAATATCAAATACGAACTCATTGACGAACCAAACACGAGCTGTTCGTGAACAACGAGCTTTTTTGACAGCCCTAGGTACAACTATAGGCTTTGCTAGATTCGACATCCGATTAACATTCTAAATATATTTGAAAAACTTTCAAGAGTGGTTTAATGACTTGATTTGTACTTAATTTGACTCGAATTGGAATAATTTTGGTAGCGTTGGGTTTTTTTTGTCGAGTCGGTCAGTTTGACAGTATGTTTGATGAAATCGGAGTTCTAGATGAATTTTTATCAATGTTTGAATATTTCTTGCTCAAAAAGCCTGTCTCGAGATCTATGTCATGCTTCAAGATTCGTGCAGAATGATAGAGAATTATTGGAGATGTATCAAATACTAATTTCTAAGATTTTCACAAGTTTCCTGAGAACCTTTATGCGTATTGAAGCTCAGCTTTTACTGTGCTATTATGCTGGTGTTAAGTTTTTTGTAGGACGACCTAAAATTTTGATCCTAGAAATAGGAGTTGTGAAACAAGTAGCAATTTATTTACTTGTCAACAAAAACGACAAGAAATAAAAACCAAAACCAACTAAATCAACACAATCAAAACCAAATAGAGTCAAGAATCACAAAAACACACACAAAAAGATATCTTGGCTTCTGATTAGGACAGGCAAAAAAGAAAGGTCACTTCGTTAAGCTACCTCATGGAATATCAACAAGAACAGATTAAAAAGCTTTCGCATTAAAATGCTGCTCCTTTTTTTGGGAATATTTACTAACACACGTACCACTTATTTCCTATAAATTTACATATCTAAAACCTAAACTTCAATTTTTACATATATGTCACCTTACAGATGCAAAAAAAGGTGTATTTTACATTTTAAAAGCTAAAATAGTGTTGGTTTTTTATCTAACACGAAATATTTGGGTGGTATTAATATAAAATGTAAAGTTTAGGCATTAGATATGTAAATACATAGGAATTGGTTGGTATGCATGTAAATGCCCTTTTTTTTAATTATGTATTAGAGAATCACAAGAAGTAAACTCATACAGAAATTGAGAAATTAAGCTGAAGTAAGATAACATGCCTCAACAAGAGATGCGAATGAAGCTGCCATCATGGCAAAAACATCCCCAGCATTAAATGTTGGAGCTCCCCATTGAAACGGATATGGAAATCTTATCCTGCATACAAATAGATGAAACATATCAATTACAAACAGGGTGGGGTAAAATGGTGGAGCCAAGGGTTGGCTGGAGAAGGCACTCACCACCTCCAAATTTTTTACTAAACTCATTGGTATCATGTGATAAAACAAAAAAATCGTCCTCATAATTACACATCAAATAATAATTTAATATTAATTTTATATTTAATTTAATATTTATAATAGTTTTAAAATTTTTAAAGAAGTTGAAGTTTTAAATTTAAAAAATCAATTACAAACCCTTGTTTTTTTTTTTTTAATTTCACTATTCTTGAAATTTTGGTTTGACCGCTTGGGTTAAATATCAATAGAGATGTAACTAAATAACTTTCCCAACATGCATAAATCTATCATTTAGCCCAAGAGCAATCTCATGTTAATGATTTTGATTAGTTTAGTTTTAAGAAATATTAATCCACATAAATTTGATCTAAAATTCTCGCACTGCGAGAGGATAAAAGTAAATAGTGAATATAGAAAATTATCAATAGAGATGTACCTAAATAACTTTCCCAACATGCATAAATCTATCATTTAGCCCTAGAGCAATTTCAAATTAATGATTTTGATTAGTTTAGTTTTAAGAAATATTAATCCACTGAAATTTGATCTAAAATTTTCGCACTACAAGAACATAAAAGTAAATAGCGAATATGAAAAAAAATATGCAATTGAGAGAAAAGTATGAGTGTGAACAGTAAAAAGTTCACCCCATGTTGCACTGCCGTACCATGGGGAGGCACCTACAAGTCCAGCACGATCTGTCCGACAACTGGATTGAGTAGATGGAGAACTATGCCTGTATGCACCGGATGCAGTAAGAATATGAGCATACGCCCAAATGACTGCAGCACTAATAAGCACCGAAAAACGATCAAGTATTATTCTTCTTTTACTAAAGGCATTTGGAGCATACTGCAAAACACTCACCGCAAAAAAATAACAAATATTAAGTATCTTATATAGAAGCTTGCACTGAAATAATTATAAAGCAGGGTTACCTGTGAAAGTGCAACAATTAGTAAAAGAGCTGGCAGTCCAATCTCTACACATCTTACCACCTATTAAAATAGAAATAAGGAAAAAAGGTATGAGAGTAATGAAACAAAAAGATTTGATTGATGATGGAAGAAAGAAAACTCACAATAGGAAACCCAAAGTTAAAAACCCCAAGCCCTGCGAAGGTCACGATGGGTACTGCAGCAAGAGGGCTAAGGAACCTATCGACAAAAAATAGAAAAGAAAAGGCTGAGTATTACAGTGACAAAATCACTTCACAACAAATGATGAAAATATAAATCAGTATCTGCATCATAACCATAGCCATTTCTACAACAAGTATGATAAATGACTAACTCTCACCAAGTACTCATCATAATTGGGTTAAGTTGTAATATCAGTTTACAACAAAAACAACAACAATAGCCTTTATCCCACTAAGTGGGGTCGGCAACATGAATCATATTTTAATTTAATTCTAATAAATTAAGTTCATTTTTTTTATTGAACTTGCCCAAATCTTTTTTAAGTCTACTTCATGCTTTCTTAACATAAGTCAAATCTAAAACTTCGACTCTATTAGACGATCGCTATTTAATATGACCAAACCATCTAAGACAACTCTCACAAATCAAGCCCAGGTCAAGCAATTAAACCACTTTTGAAGCTTCTAGTGTCTAGTAGAAAGGCCAAACGAATTCTAAATCTGATAAATTTATAATAAAATTGAGTGTCACGACGAGAGATGTCCAACAGGTCTGAGATCACTCAATTATGACATCATTAAGGCACTTAAATTTCCATTAAGCGTCTTCCGATTACAGGAATCTTTTCAGGACGTCTGATGGAGTGGTATGAATTTCTTCCTTATTTGCAGGAAAGCCTCTCCCAAACATTCTACCCTCTTCATGAAAAGGGACCTAGAGCTTGAGCTGAAAAAAAGGTTGGGCTTGGAGTTGGTGCAAGGAGTTGAATTCCAGTGTCATTCCATACCAAAGACTCAACGAATTCATCTGGTTGTTGCAATAGTCAACCACTCTCGACTGTCGCTCGCCGACCACCATTGACCACCACTGACCACCTGTGCTTGTGCCAACGAAGCACTGTGTAGAGTAAAGACCAAAGTCACGGAGTAAAGACAGTCTACGAAGCATTGCATCATCCTGAACATCATACAACGACATGCATCGAAGACACTATATTAATTCTCCAGCAACTACTCCCAGCAGCAACCGCTCTCAACTATTTGTGCAACGATTCTTTCGACATACAAACATTATATTTCGATGAACTTTGTGACTCTTTCCTACTTAGTGTATCGTTCTAAGTGGCTAGGCTTGATGGTTTTTCGTTTTTGGGGTTTTCAAGTAGAAACTCATGGTGTCTATTTGTTACTTTAATTACTTAAGCGTGTGCAGGACTTTCGTGCAATGCTAAGATGCTAATTAATCACTATTCCGCCACTAGTCTTCCAGCACGTATCAATAGGAATGAAAGTTGCATTCACTACTTATTTAAACTTAATCAGCATTTCTGCAAGTGCAATGTATAGTCTGCATTGATCTAGATTTTATACAAAGAAGCCTGATGTATTACCCACTTCCTTTAAGAAAAAAGTATTCAAAAGATTATAGGAGCTAGAAGCCTAGCAATATCACTAGAATTAGAACTTCAATCACTGTAAATTTAATGTCCCCAATAAACCAGCAATAAAACAAAACTAAGACCAAATTTGGAGAAACAAATACCTGATCGATATCCTCCATATACCACAGAACCCAGCAATTATCTGAAAGCTAGAAGCAGCTAGAAGAGCACCCTGGATAGCCCGCATTATATGCACGAACCTCTGGTTCAATTAAACCGACAAATTAAAAAAAATAAATCACAAAATATCAAAAATACAAAGCTATTTGGTTCAATATTGTTGAATGTCATGTTATTAGATGCCAATATCACTGTAGAAAACTGTGTTTAGTTTAGTGGTGCTACCAAGTTCAAACGCATTAGCAATTTTTTTTTATTGTGTAATATTAGCCAAATTTCTAACATAAGTAAGAATCAAAATGTTGATTATTTTAATTATTTAAAAAATAAAGAGCGATCAAACAGTTAACATCTTCAAATAACACAAATGGTCGAAATTAAGATGAGATTAAAGATAACGGAGATTAACACCTCGTGTGGGTCTGCAATATCGGCGAACCGCTCACTGACGATAATGGAGAAGGTTGGAAGAAGGTAAGTGAAGGAACCCCCGATCACAACAGGAAGCCGAGTCCCCAGCCATGATTGCAACAGAGTATTGATTCCAGCGACAAATAGAACCGTCTGGATTAACCTTGCCTTCTCTTCCTATAAAACATTGTTTTCATCCCAAAAGCAAGATAAATCAGAACAAAACGGTCGAATAGAAAGCAGATTCGCCAACATCTCCTCGAATGAAAATACATAGAGAGAGAGAGAGAGAGAGAGAGAGAGAGAGAGAGAGAGAGTTCACATGGCCACCACCGATAAGCTGAACGAGTAAAGTGGGAATTAGGATAGTTGTTCCAAGCATCACGACATAATGCTGGAACCCTAGAATCACCGCTTCCGCTGCGGATTCATAGAAAACATTCATCAGAAACATAGTGGAAGCAGAGAACAAATACACTCGGAAAGAACAAATAGAAAACGGACGCCAAGGAAGAGGCTTCCCCGGAAATGGTCCAAATTCCTCCCCCTTCCGCTCCACCTTCGCCTCTACCTTCGGCTCCACCTTCGCCACTACCTTCGGCTCCACCTTAGGCTCCACCCTTAGGCTCCACCTTCGGCTCCACCTTCGCCTCTACCTTCGGCTCCACCTTCGGCTCCACCGTCTCCTCTACCTTCGCCTCCATTTCGCACAGTCTCTCTCTCTCTCTCTCTCTCTCTCTCTCTCTCTCTCTAACTCTGCTTAGAGAGAGAAAGAGTGAGTTTCTTGGAAGGCAGAGCGAGGACCCAGACGGCGAGACTCACTTGTGTAAATATATGATGGTTAGAAGGAGAGAAAGAAAGAAACGCTCGCGAGCGCGCCAGTAACGGTGATCACTAAGTAGACGCGACTTTGAGACCATCGAAAGTGACCCATGTTGTAACTGACCTCTTGTGACCCGTTTGGTGTGTGTGGTTGGTGGGCTAGAAACAAATCATTATACGGGCACATAACTTCCATCATTAGCTGAGAAACAGTGACCCGTGCTGGGCTCTGCCAACTCGACGACGATTATTTTTAGTATATTTAATTAAAAATTTACTATAAAATATTTATTTTAAGAAATTATAATTATTTTGATAATTAAAAACATAAAAAGTAAATGATAAAATTATCTTTATCTTTCAATAAACAAATCCTCTTCATTTATTCCTTTGTTTTTAGCTTTTTAATGAATATATTTATTTTAAAAAAGATTTACATAACACACCCATTAATTCTTATATATTTGCATATTTAACATTTAAATTTTTGGGGATCAATTATTGTAGGGGTCTCAATTCGAGTCAGCTCAAACCTGACTCGTATTTAACCCGCCAACTCGAACATGATCCATGTAACCCATTTTAAATAAGGAATAATCATTATTTCGGTTAAAATCAAATCACTTTCAGGCCAATTTTGAGTTGATACCTAGCTGACGGGTGGATTTTAATTCAATTTGGATCAAAGGGTCATCCTGAACTCAACTCGATGGGTTAGTTCCTAGCTTATGAAAGAAGGTGTAATGTTATAATATTCATCTATGACTTATAAAGATAACTGTCTCTCATGATTACTTATCATAATTATAATCCAGACGATATATATCTTTACAATGCCAATTAAAAAAGGTTGAGGTCTTTTTTTGTAAAAAAATGGAGATATAGAAAGAAACTAATTATAAATATAATTGTAATTAGTATTCAAATTTTTATCATTAATCTATCATTAACTCTGGCCCCATCACTCCAATTTTTGAAAAAAAAAAGACCTTTTAAGAAAATAGTTTAAATTAGTATTATAATTAAAATGATAAATGGTCTGATTATTTAAGAGAAAATTAATAAAAATTTATCTGATAAAAAATATGAAATATCAATTTTTAAATATTTTTAATCATTTAAAGGAAATTTAGTCAATTTAAATCTATTTTAAATATATTTATTAATATTAATTACATCCATTAATCATTGTATTAGTTAATTATCTCATTTTGGTCAAAAATCAGTATGATTAATTAATCGCTATATTTATTACATAAATTTAATTGAGTAGATTCTTCAATCATTTCATTATGTGATATGATGCCTTTTTCTTACGGGACATTTACATGCATACCCCTCAGCTCCTATATATTTGCATATCCAATACCTAAAAAATTTAATTTGTTATATTTAATTATTTATACACGTAAAACTACGGTATCATATCAAAAATATTATTATTTTATGCAAAAAATAAGAAGACAAATTAAAGTTGAGGGGCTTGATTGTAAATACATAAAAATTAGACAGTATGTATGTAAATCTTTTATTATTTTAGATTAGTTGAGTCAATTGTTTTATGCTACTTTAAATTTTAGGAAATTTTAAATATATATCACAAAATTATAAAATAATAATAATAATAATAATGATGAAGATTTATATTCATACCACTCAATTCCTATGTATTTAAACATCTATTGCCTAAATTCAATTGTTGCATGCTACTTTTTTTAATGAAAATGTGTATCTTACATTCTAAAAGTTTAAATTATGACAAGAAAAATGGGGGTGGTATAGATGTAAAAAATAAATTTTAGGTTTTCGATATTTAAAATTTTAATTTTGCATGAATCTTGTATATTTGTTCCATTTAGTAAACTATTTAATGAATTTTTTTTTAGGAAGATGGTGATATCTTTGTGGAAGTTATTGATGTGATTATGATTTAGGGTGTGTTTGGGGTATAGGTGCGGCGGCGGTACGGTGTCGTGCCACACGTTGTGACTTCAGTTAAACACTTGTTTTTTTCAAAAAGTTGTAGGGAGCAGCTATGCTTTTGCAATCTGATCACTTGACCAAGAGTTTCTCTGGGACAACTGCAACTATTTGAAGAAACAACCATGAAACTTCTGTAAGAGAAACTATTGTTCAAAAAGTTACTGTGACTATTACAATTTTTTTTTTAAGGAAAAAGAATCAAACCCTAGCAATCATAGTGGGTAATGAAGTCTAATGGGAAAATTTAGCTTACAGTAGTAGCTTTTCGAGAAAGTAAAGATAATGCGGTTTTGCCAAACAGAAAAAACTATTGTGAAAACACATCCTAAGTGCGGTGACAACCAGAAAGCTGCCATCTAACTTTTTATTACAGCTACCATACAATTTTTTGAACAATAATTTCTCTGCAGCAGCTTCGTAGCAGTTTATTAAAACAATGAATATTTCTACATAAATTACGGTTATATTATTAGTCTCCTAAGTTGAAGCTGACGGAGGAGCCGTTTATGTCGACTATGATAAGATTGAGAAGGAGAAGGGAAAGGGAACAGACAAAGAAAAACTGCTAGGGTTGTCATCCCTAGCTTTACCGCATAACAAGAGTATATAAATATACAACAAATAAAAAAACTAAACTACCCTTAAGTAGGGTAAAATAATAAAGATACAAAACTATAATATCTAACATCCCCCCAACTCATGATGCATCAAGTGGAATCATCGAGAGTTTGCTAGTCAAAAAGGAAAAGCGTTGAGTAGAATGCGATTTTGTAAACACGTCAATAAGTTGCATGGAGAAAGAAATATAGGGTAAGGTAATGGTGTCATGTTGAAAATAATGGCGAGTGAAATGACAATCAATCTCAATATGTTTGGTGCGCTCATGGAAGACTGAGTTGCGGGAAATTTGTATAGCACTTTTGTTATCACAGTACATAGGAGTTAGGCTAGAGAAAGAGACACTCATATCAGCAAGTAACCAGCGCACTCAAACAATTTCTGCAGTGGTGGATGTGATGGCACGATACTCAGCTTCGGTAGAAGAGCGAGAGACAACTGCTTGCTTCTTACTCTTCCGAGAAATGAGATAATCTCCTAAAAAAATATAAAATTCTGTTGTAGACGTACGATTGGTGGAATCACCACCCAATCAGCATCTGAGTAGGCACGTAATTCCAAGAAAGAAGATGCAGGAAAGAGGAGACTCTTAAATTGAGTGCTTCGAAGATAACGAAGAATGCGAAGAACAACTGCTCAATGAACTGTAGTAGGAGAGGCAACAAACTGACTGATAACATGTACAATATAAGAAATATCAGGTCCAGTGATGGTAAGATATATTAAACTGCCAACAAGTGTCCGATACAAGGTGGGATCAGACAAAGGAACACCATCTGAAGAGGTATAGTGAACATTAAGCTCAAGAGGAGTAGCATTTGTCCGAGTATCAGAGAGATGAGCTTGTTCAAGGATGGTGCCAATATACTTAGATTGGGAAAGAAGATAACCTCTAGGAGAATGAGTCACTTCAATCCCTAAAATATATCGAAGAGTGCCCAAATCTTCTCAAACTGTTGAGCTTCAAACTGTTGAGCTAATTGTAATTTCAACTCTGTAATCCCATTATCATTATCCCCAGTAATAATCATGTCATCAACATATATAGAGAGTATAATACGACCATGAGAGATACTCTTGAAAAACAAAACAGTGTCATGTGAGCTAGAATGAAAACCAAGCGATGCAATCACAACTGAGAACTTTCAAACCAAGCTCGAGGAGCTTGTTTAAGACCGTAGAGAGCTTTCTTTAGTCTACAAACTTCTTCATGATTATGAGAGACACCTGGTGGAGGCACCATGTAAACTTCCTCTTGAAGATCATCATTTAATAATGCATTTTTAACATCCATTTGAGAGACACACCACTGATTAATAGATGCGACTGCGATAAGAGTACGAATAATAGTCATTTTGGCAACAGGAGTAAATGTTTCTTCATAATCCAGACCATAATGTTGAGAAAGTCCCTTAGCAACCAAACGAGTTTTATATCGCTCAACTGAAGGAGGCGAGAGGCGCGATTTCCGGCTTCCTTGGCGATTTCTTTGCTGATAGCTGGAGGTGATTTACGAATGGCTTCTTATATCATTGGGAGGTGAAAATTGGAGACAGAAGATTGTATTTCTTTGATGGAGATATTTTTTGGTGGTGCATGCGGTGCTATTTCTGGAAACAATGGCGATTTGGTAATGCTCAACTCGGAGCCCCATTATAATGGTGTAGAACCCAACTATAGTGTCGTGTTACTCAACAAGATTGTCCAGTGTATGTCGCATAAAAAACAAGTGACATACACTGGACAATCTGTGCCATAAAAATATAATACCGTACTCGTTGTATTTCGTGAAATCCGAATACATACAGACTCCACATGTAATATTCTTTTAAGAAAATATTGATCATAGGTAGCTTTCGATCATATTTTGCTTAAAATTAGCTCATGGCTTGTTGTATTCGATTTTGACCTAGTTCAGCTTGAAAACAAAGCGGACCGACTCAATCTGAGTTATTTCGATCTGTTCCTGATCGAAAAGCAAAATGAGCAGACTCGTTTCAAAAGATTGAGATTAGAATAAATAAATACAAAGAAATTATACTGAAATTCTATTACTTGTGCATTTTAAAATTTTATTTAGCGTTATTAAAACATCAAGCCGGTCTCAAGCTAATTCTTGTATCGCTCGAAATCGGCTTGTGAATAATTTGATACATGGTTTTGGCTAGTTTACTTCTATCAGATCTCGACCAAGCCAAATTTTGAAACAATTTTTTAGCGATGACAATCTTCCAGCTAAATTCTCGACCTTAGGCGATGGTTGAATCTTGAAAATAAATTAGGAGACATGCATTTACCTTTTCCCTTAGTAAGCAATTGTTATTTATTGAATGATAAATATAATATTTGTATGTGTTGCATTTTTAGATATTTTTTAAGGTTTGTCAATACTTCTTTTTGTTGCACAGATTCATGTTTATTCAATTATTTCTTGTATTTACAAGATTTATTTTATGCATGCTATCCCTGTTATAGATTCAATTTCTACAATTCATATTTATATATAGTAAGTGGTGCTCCCCATTCATATATATATATATATATAGACACACACACACACACACACCGCTTACAATATAAGGTTATGGGAAATATAAAAATCAGTGAATTCTCTTTCAACCTCATCAAAAATTCTCTCTCAACAGTTGTTGAAAGAGGATTCACTGATTTATATATATATATATATATATATATAGACACAACAAATAATTAGATTAAAAGTTTATATAAGGTTATGGGAAATATAGAAATCAGTGAATTCTCTTTCAACCTCATAAAAAATTCTCTCTCAACAGTTGTTGAAAGAGGATTCACTGATTTTTATAACAATGTGGATGAGATTTTCTACCACAATGTTCACATGCAGGATGCGATCTCTTTTTGCTTCTGGCTTTGCTCTTGTTACTGTTGGTCTAGCGTTCTTCATTTAAGCCTAGATGATTTCTGCTTTTCCTTTTTTTTTTTTTATTTTACTTGCTTACCTTTTCTTAATGCTTGATAGAAAGGCTCTTTTGATAACTACAATGTTAGCAAGCTCCTTAGAGGCACCTTAGACAAGAAGATGTGACAATAGAACATTCCCGACAATCCAAATATTGGTTTCTTGCTTCAATTCAAGAAAGTTTTGATTCTTCATAATAATAGAGAGAACAACGTTGCTGCCCATACCTGTGCAAAGAAGGCTCTTGATAGTGATTTTATTTTGTGTCATGTTCATAAGTCGGATCCTTTTTTTTATAGGAGGATATTGCCCCTTTTGTAAATGCCCAAGGATATCTTGCGTCATGTTCAGTTATACTTGATCTAATATTATTTTTGACATTTATCCTTATTTGTGCAACTTTTGATAGTCTTGTCACATCACTCCATATAAAGTTGCCATCATATTACACTAACATATCTTTTATTTTTGAACTAATAGCATTCATTTCTCTAATGAAGTCAATTTTCTCCTCATTTTTTAGTGCCTTAAAGAATTGCATAGGCAATGTTTTCGTAATGATGCATATTTGGATGGTTATATAAAGTCCCATGACCCACCCTCTCTGTCTGGTAGCTCAGTGACTAACGTCGATCTCTTTGCTCTTCTAATTCAATATTTGATTTTCAAAATGAGCTAATTTAATTTTATTATTGTTTTTTCCTTTTATTTAAACCAACTTTCAATATTCTTATGTTTTTTTGGTACTTGACATTTACAAATTTAATTTTATTATATTTTAAAATTTTATTTATTTATTCAGAATTACATGAATGACTACATTCTTTATTCTTTAATTCCAAAATAAAAATAGTATTGTACATTTATGCATCAATTTATGTTTAATTCTATCATATTTTACTAAGGCACCCTTTGGTTCATGAATTCATTGCTCTATCTCGCTACTGCTATTGATGATAACTAGTTGTTGGCAAATAATACTCAAATTGTAATGAGAATGGCCATTGAAGGATAATGTTGTAGATTTGTTGCTTATAACTTGCTATAAATTTTTTCTTCAAATTTTTCTAGAACTTCAACTTTACAATGCTCTGCAGTACTGCTTTTGTACTTGTATATGTAATTTGTTTTGTTAGCTGATTTATATCTTAACATAGCATGCAATTAATGAACATTGTCACTGATAACATGATTTCTTATTCTCTGTTGTTTATAGAGCATGGCTTGTAAACAGTCGTGGAATTGCTAAAAAGGTGAAGAATGCAACCCTCTATTCAAACTATCAAATCAGAGAACTTGGAACGGAAGCAAATCGTGAATGTCCGAATTGCAAGTATGTTATTGATAATAGTGATGTAAGCCTCCTTGATGCCCATTTATTAGTTTATGAACTTTTTACGTTCTACATATTGTCTCTTAATTGAAGTTATTTAAATTGATGTTTAGTCGCCAATTGTCTCTACCAATTGTTGGTTACTTTGAGTTCAGTTCATTATAGAAGAACATTTACTTTTTCTGCTAATTATTTAATCAACGTTCTTCATTGTATCCTCGGATTATATGTGTATTTCTCATGTTTTATCCTATCAAAATTTAAGGAAATAAACAGCCTAAACTTGAAAAATATCTTGCAAACACCTGCATGTCCATACCTTGTGTAATAGCCACCATTCCATACTTCTTCAAATAACCACACACACCTCATGTGCATTGTTTCATTTTCTATTTAATTTTTTACATGTTTTCAGGAGTCGTAAGTTTCAAGTTTATGATAGGGCCTTGGTTCCATACCAACAAAACATATCATGTGTAATGTTTAAGTTTGATCTCAACTAATTCATCAATCTAAAAGATATCATGAATGCAGCGTTCAATCGATGGAAGCAACTGAAACATGTTGACATACGTTGGCCAAAAATGATCAAGCCTATTTGTGTCTCCACAGGTTTCTTTGGATTGGCCTGGCCTTCCTGCCGGTGTAAAGTTTGACCCCACTGATGTAGAACTTCTAGAGCATCTTGCAGGAAAAGCTGGAGTGGGGAAGTCCAAGGCCCATATTTTCATAGATGAATTCATACCAACACTTGATGGGGAGCATGGAATTTGCTATACACATCCTGAGAATCTTCCTGGTAAGAAGCTCGCCAAGTTCAAGTCTTTTTTGATGCTTAGCATTTGAACGTCTGTCATCATACCTTTTCTCTTCACATAGGTGTCAAAAAAGATGGAAGTGGTGCTCATTTCTTTTACAGAACATCAAATGCATATGCAACTGGATGTAAGAAGCGCAGGAAGATACGGAGTGAATACAGTGAGTCTGAAGAACGTGTTAGGTGGCACAAAACTGGTAAAACCAAACCTGTGGTAGAGAATGGTTTTCAGAAGGGCTGGAAGAAGATAATGGTTCTATACAAAAGTTTTGGGAAGGGCTGCAAACCAGATAAGGCTAATTGGGTGATGCATCAGTACCATCTTGGGACAGATGAAGAAGAAAAAGATGGCGAGTTCGTTGTGTCAAAGGTTTTCTACCAGCAGCATACGAAGCAAGTTGATAGGGCTGATACTGAAACATTACTGAATGAATTAGTTAGTTCAAATATAAAGTGCGGTCCAAGAACACCAAAAACAGTTGCACCAGAGCCGCCTCGGGCCAAAATGAATTCTTTAAGTATATATATATAAGTAGTATTTTTTAAAAATTTAATTGGCTACAAGGCTACAAGGATTTATTATTAAATTAAAAATATTAATGAAGAAAATAGAATAAAAAATATTAAATTAGATTCAAATGATGTTTTAAGTAACAAGGGAGAGAACAATGTTAAGTTATTGTACTCAGGAGGGAAAGCCCATCAACATAGGGGCTTTGATCTATCATACTATTGTCAGTTCAGCTACTGTTGCTACTACTGCAGGTCTGGGATTTGCTTCTCTGATATTTTCTTTGTGTGAGCAGGCTAGGTTCAGATATGATAGTTGGGAGGAAGTTCTGTTGCCTTTGAAGCCCATTACGAAGGTGAATGTGAAGACTAATGTAAAAAAAAAAAAAAAAACTATCACCTGCATGGAAATTGTTCCGGCTCGGTAGACCGATCACTTTGGTTCGACCGACCACCACGGTCCGGTCGACTGATCACCTGCATGTTCGTTTGCTTTTGCGTTATATTGCATGCTTGCGTGTTTGCATGTTGCATCTGGTATGTGTTAGATTGCATGATCATTATCATTTGCTTGCGTTGCACTCTTTTGGTCACTGCCGCCTCGGCACACCCTTCTTCGGGCCGCTGCCACCACGACACGCCCATCACTTTAGGTCACTGCCTCCTCGACACACCTTTGGGCCGCTGCCACTACGACACGCCTATCACTTTTGGTCACTGTCGCCTCGACACACCTCTTCGTGTCACTGCCGTTACCCGTTACCGCACACCCATTTGTTCGAGCCGCTGCCTCCACGGTATGTCCATCTTTTCCTGAGTCACTGCCCACGGTACACTCATCCCTTCTATCACATGACTGTCTGCATTTGCATGTTTGCATTGATAGAGAGCCAGACTCGTTAGGAGAGTGGCCCCGTGTCGGTCGCGATGCCTTAACGAGCATTGCTTGTTTGGTTGATCCCGCTGAGTAATGCGAGTTAAGTCATCGGGTTTGACACGAGTATGACTGTGCTAAAATCTAATAAATCTAACTTGTATCACCACTCTTCGTGACACCTTTTTTATTCTTCGGATCTTTAGGATGTGGTCGGTATGACGATCTCGTCAAAGTCATACTATACCTAGACTTGTCCCGCACTTAGATACTAGGTTGACTACTGGAAAAGCGAATAAGACCCGACGTATCAAAGCTCGGACACCGATCCGCCGACAAACCAAAAGGGCAGACGAATTGGAAAAACGAATAACTCCAGAGTAGCTGAACATGTAAAAAAAAAGATCCAGAAACATGTATTTTTTTACATTTATACCATTCAAACCCTTCTCATCACATAAAAAATAACACTAATTAATTTTAAAACACAAATACATCTTTTCATGCAAAAACAAGATGACATAATGTAAAAATTGAAGTTTAGTGGTAGATATGTAAATACATAGGAATTGAGTAGTAATCATGTAAATATTGCTATAATTTGTAACTAATATAATATGTGACTATGTGTAGAGCCTCTAAAATAATGTATAATGTTACTTGGGGAGATTATATATATATATATATATATATATATATATATAATATAATAATATAATATAATATGTAACTAATAGAAGTTTGGTTACATATATTATCTGTATATCAAAAAATGAGTTTCTTCAAGTAACAAGAAAAACCCAAATATAAATGAATCTCCCGGGCTTAATGGAAGGAGCCCATCAACACGTACTTAATGATCTGATTCTGACCAGACCAATTGTGCTCGTTAGTCGTACTTTTGGAGATGATAACCTACGAAACTTCTCCCCCAGCCTAGAAGGACTCCATGAATATCTCCGAAGTTCGTTAGCATTCATGCTTATTCCTCCGATTCGTTAGCATTCATTTCCCGACCTCTTCCAAACTCACTTATACTAGTTGAGTTCTCCTACCAAGCTCGATGAATTGTTATTCTTTGAGGCAGAAGAAACAAAACTCAAGTTCATCATCATATATGTAACCATTTATTAGCGGCATGACGCCCACACCAAAAATCTAGTCAACAACAAGTCAACTCAAGCTCTATACTATACAACCTAGGACTGAACATTTTCTTTTATTTCTTAAACCCCTGCGTGGCCACATAAACTCTATGATATATAAAAATTATTCACATTAATTATATAATTAAGCCACTTTCACAAACAATTAGAAACATACCATAACACAGCAACAAGTCTACTATTTACAAATAACATAACAAACCTTTCCCTAATATTATAATGCCTGTAATGTTTCAGCTGAAATATTAATATTTACGACTGCTATCACCTAAACCAATAAATCAAAATGCTGCAATATAGCTTCGAACAATTTTTATATTTCATTGTTTGTTGATTTGAGATTTTAGAGAGAAGGGAAGAACTTGCTGAGGTTGTAAGGAAGGGCATAGAACTCCTCACTTCTTATATCCGTTCTGTAAGATCTGAACTTCTCCCACCAATGCCAGCCGCGATCTCTCCGTGCTTGCGCGTTATTCCGCAAGAGAGTGGTGTCCAAGAAATACGCAATGATGGCGGCGACGGTCGCCGGCGAGGAAAATATCACGTTTATCATGTCGTTAAACTGCAAGGCCACGAATGAAAGAGTTTCAGTGCTACCATAGGATATTTGCGTACATGATACATAATTTTTATGTATATACATATCTAAAACCAAAAGTTTGATGAGTAACATTTGGGACATTTTCATACATAGCACACAATTCTTCTATATTTACATGTCTCCCACCTAAACTTTCATGTTTATGCATATAAAACTCAAATCTTTAATATCACATAAAAAGCAAAGAGTATTACCAAATTTTGAAAGTGAAATACATATTTTCATGCATAAGTTTAAAGTAAAGATGAAAGTTTAGATGTGAGACGTAAATACATAAAAATGTGCGCTGTATGTGTAAGTTTCGCTTTACATTTACATTTTTAACCTATGAATGAAAATATAAATTTCACTTTAAAAAAGGTAGGTCGTAATGATATTTTTTATGTAATTTTACAGATTGAAGTGTAATGCATGTAAATGTGAAAGTTTGGATGTTAGATATGTAAATACATAAGAATTATGTGGTGTGAATGTAAACGCCCTTATATATTCACATACCGCTTTAGTTCGGGTATGCACAGGGCCATACCCGTAGGCTAATTGAAAATCCTTGAAATATTGCGATATCGATAAGCCAAGAAACATGGATAAGCCCAACACGAACAGTGTTCTCAAACTGTTAAGATTGCAAAACTGCAGGAAGCCAAGTCCAGCAGCAGCTGTAGATCATGGGAAACCATTGTATCAGTCATGGAAAGCTTGATTTAGGATCAGATTGAGAAAATTTGTGAAAGTTCGAATGGGCAAAAATGAAATTATTTTCTTGGTTAAGTGTTCGAATAAAAAAAAAGACAATATTATTTAAAATAAGATTATTTAAAAAAACACTCCATACACGAGAAAACGCGAGCTATGTATGATGGACGCGATACACCGGTGTGGTGTTTTTTTTTTTTCGCCGGTGTACCGCATCCGTCATCCGTACGTAGCTCGCATACGGACGATGAACACAATTTTTTCCAGACAAGGGATTGTTTGGGATCATTTTTGCTGTTTGTTTTTTATTTTTTTCTATTTTATTTTAAAATTATGTTTGTTTAATGTGTCCATTTAAAGTAGTTTTTTTCACAGCGTAGTTTTCCAAGTAACTGCTACACTTCTAGTCAGCTATAACTTTTTAGATGTTTTCCAATATTTTGCAATAATAATGAGTTTTTACAATTAAAACTGCTAAAGGGTAATTGCTACAAGAAAATTGATGTTCCCCTTTTTAGAAGAAAAAATCAATGGTACCCAAACAATTTCAAGAAAAATATACTTTTCTTACAAAAATCACAATTTGTTTGACTGTGTTTGATTTGGTTCGTGTTTGATTTGGTTTGACCGATCCGTTTATACAATAATGCATCTCAAATTGAATTTATAATGATCAACTCATTTTTTTTCCAATTTGATTTGATTTTCAAGTTTAAAAAATGTTGTTGGCCATATAATTCTGTAGGAGTTAAGAAGGTTTAGTGACATATTATAATAAAGCAAACCTCCAACTTCTAATCAGCAAAAAGAAAAATTTTGCATAAAAAACATAAATGTTTGCAAAAGAGATTGAATCGTACAGATGGCAAAGATTCCAATATTTTAGCTATCTTATTGGGCAAATTTTAGCTCACTCTTCAGAGTTTTTGGTTCATTGTTTTTGTTATATTTTTGGATACCATGGAGCAATACATTGGCTAATTGAACTAATTTTGACACAAACAATATTTTCGTTGGAATCTTTATTAATCCTAGTCATCAAAAACCTAAAAACAAACAAAAACTAATCAAAACAAACTTAACGATTCATTTTCGGTTCATTGACCTCAGCCCCCACATAGGATTCGATAACTTAATGTCTTCACTCTGTAAACCCAGTAGAATTAGTGCAGCTCTCTGGTATGTCATTGCACACTGTGAAGAACTCTTATAAGTCATTGCCAAGTGGAGCATTTCTAAGTTATGTATTAGCTCTTAGCGTAGATAGTCTATGAAATATCTACTTTAATCTAACCCCATGACTTGTTGGTGTAGATCCCCATTATCTATTTTGGTCAAGTCACCTTGAACACTGCTCAAATCGAATAGGTTCCTATATTCTCTTGTTGTCGATGTGTCCAGGTATGTCTTTCAAATTTTAAAACTTTCCAACTTAGGTGGGATGTAAGTCATTATGTTTTCCTGCCGGGCATAGACGTTTTCAAATCTTAATCCCTTCCTTCTTTGGTGGGATGTAAGTCCTTATATTTTTCTACCGAGCATAAACATTTTTAAATCTTAAAACTTTCCGTGTGCGAGCCTCTCGTTGCCTTCTTAGCAAGCTCTAGTTGCCAGTGTCTGCACCGATCGAGTTGCATTGATCCTCACGATCGACAGCACCAAGCCCCTGGCTGCTAGGGTTAGCCTCTAACACCATAAAAAATTAAGTGCTCTTACAAACTTGACTTGGGCTTATACAGAGTTTTATGTTTTTAAAATTAAACTCCCTCATTTATATGTAGATCCATCATTGGATGAAGTGACATAAATATATTTTTTTCTTTAATGATGTCAACAAATCAACCCTCTAACATCTACAAATAATAAAAATAATAACCAAGAAAAAGCAATTTCCGGGATAAATTCAATACAAATCCATGAAACTATTAAGACATGAAATCACAAAGTTAAAATACCTGAAAAAC